GTTACAGAACATCTGAAGGAAGGGGGAAAAACAAAAACAAAAAAACCCACCACACTAATTCAGTCTGAAACCACAGAGAGAAGGAAATTGCACTTCCTTGAGTTTTAAGTAACTGGTTAGCAGATTAGCAACCATTTTCTTCTCTGCTTTATTTCTTTGCAATAATCTGTCCCCAAACACATATATAGCAAGTCAGGTTCATATCTGCCTTCAGTGGTACTTTCTGCCCCCCACTTCCTCCGCTGTGGACTAGTAGCTGGCCCCATCTTAGCTCACTTTTCATTGTCGAGACACTGCAAATTGGAACAGTAGAGTTGTTAAATGTAGAATCCACAGAAATTTATATGGCATGAGTACAGAGGAAAGGGACACTGACAATTCTGATTTTTCAGTTTGCTAACAGAAAGTCAAAGGGTATGTGCTTTGGAGGAGACAAGTGGCAGACAGCATGCAGAGTTGGAAGATTGTTTTAGCCCTCTCAGAACCACTGGTAATTTCTAAAAGCAACTGTACCATACCAGAGGGAGCATGAGCACATCCCTGCTTGTGGGATAGATTGTGGGAGGGAGCCATATATTCATCCAGAAAACAGGGGTACCATGCTAGAAATGCACAATTGAGAGCATTAGTCTTTAACAAGATCCACAGGAAAGTTAGACAGACAGAGGTTGAGTCTTTGTGATTTCTTTTTTTTTTTTAAAAAGGGTAAGAGCAGCCCCTTTTTGTATTAAGATGCTTCATAACAAAATTTCAATTTAGCATTGTGAAATACAGGTATGATCTATGGTCTGCCAGCAGGGCTTTATCGTGAGAACTTCTGCTTGCGAGGTGAACCAGATGACAGACTTCTCATCATATACTGAAATTGATCTCTGCCTTACAACCATGAGTACTGAGAACCTAATGTGTTTTCCCAAAAGTAAGCACAGAGGGTGAGAAATATAGGAACGGGGGGGGGGGGGGAGGAGAACTACCTTCCTATGCTCTCCCCACACTCTTCATACTGCCTCTCTCCTTCCCTCTCCCCACCTAGGAACAAATAAGCCATGGCTGTCCGTGTAATTGTTAGGCCATAACCCAAATGTATATCTAGTGTAAACACTGTTTTTTCATATTACCTAAGGATATCAAAGTGCTTTACAAGAATGAATCATGCCTCACTCTCCCTGTTCCCCATATACTTATCTTACAGAGAAGAAAACTGAGGCACAGGCAAAAGCAGTCACTTGCCTAGACATATAGTGAGTCAGTGGCAAAGCCAGTCAAAGAAACATGAACTGTTTGGCTTTTAACAAAGGAAGAATTTTTATTCATCTGCAGAACCCTAATTTCCGCATAAAAAACTGGAACAAGTACATAGGTCCCTGTTCACATGTCAGAATTAACTGCTATAACCATAGTCTGGGACTGCTGCTAGTTCAGTGCTACTAGTCAGACATGGAGAGTACAGAACTTATTTTAATTTAGAGTTACAGTTGTACAGTTTCCAACAGCAGATCACAGAAGCAACGCAGAGCTGACTGGAATTCAATGTTGTGCAATTATACTGCCGCCCGTGTGCTCTTCGATAACATCTTCAAATCGGAGATGCACTTGGCAATACTCTCCTTCTCCTGCAAAAGGAAATGGATAGACTTTCACAGGCCTTGAAACAACTCAGGGAAGAGAATCATTTGCATGAACAATGTGTGCACACCAACCATATTCACATTTTGCTGGGTAAAAATTGAAGCCAGGTACAGAAAGGATCTAGTTCCAACTCATGCACGATTAATAATTTGCAAAACCATCTAAGAAAGTCATGGAGATGGAAATCCAAATATTGGGCTATGTTCAAGCATTAGCAAATGACAATCTAGATGATTAAAATCTGATCCTAAGTCAGCCTGCACAATTCACAGGAGACTGCAGGATGTTGGCAAGTGTCAGGCCAACCTATCTAGAGGAACAATAAGCTTTGGGAAGAGTGAGTGGATCCTCCAAAGTGCAGGTAGAACTGACCGAGGAGAGATGACAGAGTTACGTAAATGAACTCCCCATCTAGTGCACTTCAACTCCATATCTAGGTCTACCCATTTTCTTCACCTCCCAGTGTGGAGACAACAAGGAGTCTGGTGGCACCTTAAAGACTAACAGATTTATTTGGGCATAAGCTTTCGTGAGTAAAAGTATGGAGACAGTCCACTGAAGCGTCTTTAGCCCTGTGAGGTACCAAGTCATCTTAAAAATCCACATTTAAACATCCATGCTTTACATCAAGGGATGCTGCAAGGAAGTACCCCAGCCTCCTGGGCACACCTCCCACCCACAAGCCTACTATTGTGCAGGAAAGTATTCTCTCAACTGGAGTTACTGGACCTGATATTCAGAAGCAATCAGCAACCGCAACCCAAACAAAACCAGGAAATGCTGCAAGTGCTCAGCATTTCTGGAAAAACCAAACCCCCCCCCCCCATTGGTTTTGCTCAAAAAAGTAGGAATGTGCCTTGGGTGCTCTGGAAGCCAGCCAGAGAAGAGTTAGACAAAGAAGTACTAGTCATGTTTGGCCAAAGAGGTCAGGCAGCTGAGGAAAACGGTATTCTGTATTAGGACATGGGAGGCACAGTGAACTGCTAGAAGCTCAGAAGCTTAAAGTACCTGTTGAGCAGTGAGGCTCTGGACGACGTTTTTCTCTATCCAGTTGATCATGTGATCTTGTTCCTTACGACGTGTCAGTTGCTGTACAGCAATTTGATAGTCTAGCCGCTTCTTCACTTCATTGTATACGGTGAGCAGCCTTTCTCGGTAGTTAGTCTCTAGCAGCATAGCAACGTTATTCTAGTTAGAGAAAAGATGCATTTTAGTTTTCCATTCTGACTTTTCTGACCATCTTATATTTCAGATTTAAAATTTTTATTAAAGCTAATGTTAAAAAATTATATAATAAACAGGTTACGAAAAGTGTGTCTGTACATCTGGGTATAGTGTTTAGATTACCCACAGATACAAAGTGTTTTATAAAAGTCATAAGATACATCAGCAATAATCCAAATTTAGATGAATACATTTAATACAGTTTAGATATTAGCATCCTAGTATTCAGATACATCAATCCTGAAAAGTTATACACAGAGTTGGTTGTGGAAAGCAAATATATCAACGAGTGAAAATTATCCCTCAGTAGTTGAGAATTTAGGGTAGGTTGTCCATTAGAAAATACAATCCATCCGGAAAGTATTTAAGTTACTTTCCCGACCGCGCTTCTCATTGGCACTCCAGCTTATCCCTCCCTGGTATTGCCAATGTCCAGTGATGTGTTCTAGGTAGATGTCCCTCGATCACTAACTCACATGTTGCTTTTCAAAGGAACCTAGAGTATTTTACAAAAATTGGCTATGTGTTCATTCACAGATGGAGGCAGAGAGAAGTTGAATGACTTCCCGAGGTCTCAGAGACAGGAACTGAACCCTAGAATCCCAATTCTATATTATATGCTAAGACTATAGAGCCTGTCAAAAGCGAGAATCACGCTATTTAAATATCAGTAGCATTAGTTAAGTGGATATGGTATTTTTAAAAATGGGCAGCATTTTTAGGCTTTTCAACTGAGAATGTCTTTATACTGAAAATAAATAAATGGCAAAAATCTAGCATAATCCAGCTCTACACAGGAGCTCTCACCATAATGTTCTTTTAAAATAGACAGTGTAATTTTCTAGCTTTAAAAAAAAAATGGAAAAAATGTCACATCAACACCCACATGGGTTATCAGCGGGGTTGGAGCCTTTAGATCCACAATACAGACCTCTGCCACTGGAGCTTTGGGAGTGGCAGCTACAGCAGTAGGTGACAGACCGTTCCCTGCCCCTCTGCGACACCTCCTAACCCATCCCTGTCCCACTCATCTCTCTTCTTTACCCCCCAGAATCTTCGTCCCATTCCCCACTCTTCAGGCTTCTTAGCCCATTCTCCTTGTCCAGACAGTTCCAGTTCATTCCCTGGCCCTCAGCCCCTCATCCCTCTCTCCTTCCCTATGTTCCTCATCCCATTTCAGTATCCCATTCCCCCCAGCTTCTTGTCCTAGTCATCCCCCTGTGCTCAAGCACTTCACTTGATCTGTCACCACTCCCCCTCTTACCCAACCAAAACTCCACCCTGTGGAAGCAGAATTAAAAGCAGGGTAAATGTTTTAGTCAATTTAAGGATAAAGTGAAAGGTAGCCCTAAACCTAACCATGCGAGAGTTGTAAGAAATGCTGTTTCTCATCTCACTTTTAGTTAATAAGGATGGAATGCTGATTTAAGCAGAAACCTTAAGATAAGGTAAAGTCTGGAGGGAGTTTGTTTATACAAAGGATAACCATTAGCCGTTGATGCATGTAACAGGAAGGTATAAATACTTGTCTTATATTGCTTGTAGGGGGAAGATCTGCCTAAGGTCAGGGGGGACCCCCTGTCCAACTGAAGTCTTCCCTTGCAATTGCTCGTAAGAAACTGTCTCTGACTTGTTGCTAACAAACACAGAGTAAGGACTTGTTTTCTTCCACAATCCCAATCTACACCCATGCAGGTCTGGCTCTTGTCCCTTCTTCATTCAAATTAGGCAGCTTCCTCCTCCATGCTGCCTGGGCCCAGGACAGCACAAGATAGCACCTGAACTGAGAGCAGGGAGACTCAGACCAAACACTTCCGCAGCAGCCCAAAGCTGCAATTGCCAGGAAAGTCCTGCTTAGCCCTATCCTGCAGCATGGATGAAGTCTGAGAAATTTAGCAGCTAAACTCTAAGGAATCTCTATTGATAGTGTGTGAACTGTGATCTTTCAAAGGATTACAATTCGGCCAAATTTGGGACGGTTCACATGGACTGCAAAAGGAACATCAACACAGAGGCCTCCCCCACTGCCAAATTTCAAGTCTCTGCTCCATAACTTGCAGGTTCTAGAACTTCTCAAATGAAAGGTCGCCAGAACCTTTTAACCATGTATTTTTCCCTAGCTTCGTTTTCC